ACTCGAGCGTTGCAAGCACTGCCACCACGGGGGGCAGCTTCTACGGTTCCTGCAGGTCCAGCGAGAGCGGGAGCTATCATGTCCCACAATACCACCTTCACGGTGAATCCAAGGGAGAGGTCTAGATCGAGAGATCAGGAACCGAGAGATCCCAGCAGTTCGGTTCGCTTGAACAAGTTCACGGGACCGAATCCTCATGCCTTACCACTTCAGCCGGTGAATCGAAGGATGGAACTGATCACCAGGTTTGTGAGGCTTCAAGAGGATGAGTACGAACGATGGGAAGCGGACGTTCACAGTGGGCAAGAGGTGATTGACGCCTTTCGTGGACAGTGGAGAGAGATTTTGCCCGTGGATGACACCGTAGATGAGGTGGTGCCAATGTTGGTGTACAACAGCATGAAAGATTGGGAGACTGAGCCTGAGGTCTACATGGTCACGGAGGACGGATTCCGAAGGCATTTGGTCACCATCATGGATGTGCAGGAGTTTCCGGTGGTGGACCCCACGCCTGAGAACACGTTGGACTGGGAGGAGTTGGTGGTCGTCCAGGTGTACAACATGTTCCTTGGAAGGGTGGAGTATCTCCTGTACTGGGACCGAAGGGTGGTGGTGGAAGAGGCACCATTGCCGGCGTTGCCATGGATGGGACGTAGGGACCCTCCTGGACAAGATGATCGTGAACCTCGCTTGGCACCAATGAGGGTGGAAACTGCGAGCTCATCGTCGACGACATGATGTTGTTTGAGGAGGTTGAGTTTGAGGAGCTGGGCGAGCCAGAGGAATCCTGGATGGAGCCTATGCTTAGGAAGGCTACCTCTGAAGGCCTTTACACCCCAGGGATTCAAGCGTTGCTGAACGACTTGAAGGAGGACGAGGTGCTTCAGGTTGTGCACACCGTTGACCCGAAGGAGGCGAGTGAGGCGATTGAAAAGTGGAAAAAGCCTATGGCCAAGGAGGTCGACTCGATGGTGGGCATGAACGCTATCCGATATCCACAAGATTTGGGGTGAAGATGCGAGACGTTTCCGGGCCGATCCAAACTCAGTGGTGGTGCCGTCCAAACTCGTGTACACAGCGAAGCCTCCCACAAGGCCTGAGGAGGGGAAGTACCGACGTCGAGTGCGGGCGGTGGCTTGTGGAAACTTCGCAAATGAGGGCCTGGAGGTGGGTGATCTTTATGCGGCAGGAGCTACAATCGATGGAGTTCGAATTGTGGTCGCTGAAGCCAGTACCAACAAGTGGAGCATTGGGACGGATGACGTGAAGAACGCCTTCTTGGCTGCACCACTACCAGCGGGTCGTGGGTATGCAATGGAGCCTCCCCGGGCAGCGATCAGAGCTGGCCTGGCCGAGGAGGGGGAGCTGTGGGTCGTGGACGCTGCAGTCTATGGTTTCAAGAAATCGCCAAAGTGGTGGACGGACCATCGCAACTCAAAGGCAAGGCTTGCGAAGTGGAAGGACGATGATGGGAAGCCGGTGAAGTTGGAAGGCTGCTTGACGGACGTCAACCTCTACAAGGTCCTGAAAGAGGAGAAGCCTGGAACGTGGACTTTGACGGGCTTGGTGGTCTTCTATGTGGACGACGTCTTGGCGGCTGGGCCGGATTCCATCTTGCGAGGGTTCTTCGGATGGTTGGGCAGTCAATGGGAGACCAATGGCTGTGAGATGGTGGAGCGAGGAAAGCCACCTGTCCGGTTTCTGGGCCTGGAGATTAGCATGCTGGACGATGGGACCTATTGTGTGGGTCAGCAGGGCTACCTTCAGGAGTTGGTTCGAAGCCGGGAAGTCAAGTCCTTCAGCAAGCTGCCAATGGCGAGGGAAATCCCAGAAGGGAGTGCTACGGAGGAGCAGGATCCGAGCATGGTGAAAGAGGCACAGCAGCGGTGTGGAGAGCTGTTGTGGGCTTCCCAACGTGGGCGGCCGGATTTGGCATTCCCAATGGCAGTGATGTCCTCGTTGGTCACGAGAAATGCAAGGGAGGCTGTGAAGATGGGCAAAAAGATGGTGGCCTATCTCAACAGCACCATCGACAAGAAGTTCTTCTTGCCGGGCCCGGACCACGAGCATGCCAACGACTTGGTCCTGTTCACGGACGCCAGCTTCGCTCCCACTGCTGCTCAAAGTTACTCAGGGGCTGTTGTCTTTTGGAGGGGTCATCCGATCCTTTGGAAGGCTTCGAAGCAATCACTGACCGCTTTGTCGAGTGCCGAGGCGGAGGTGATCGCGGTGTCCGATGGGGTGGCTTTGCTTCGAGCGGTGAGGTCGGTGTTGGAAGACTTGGGATTGAAGCCGGCACGGACCGTGGTGAAGGTGGATTCCACAGCTGCGATTGGAGTTCTGACTGGGGAGGGATCGTGGAGGACGAGACACCTCAAACTCCGACATCATTGGATCCGGGAGATGATTGCCACGGGCCAGATCGAGTTGGAGCACCAGCCAGGACAGGGACAGCTCGCAGACGTTTTGACAAAACAAGTGCCCCAGGCGAGGCTTCAGGAGGTCTTCGACGAGTGGAGTTTGCGAGATGGGCCCCTGAGCTTCGTGTACTACGTGGACAGAAGCAGGTCAAGTTCGAAACCACGGCAGTCGACAGCAGTCTTGAAGCAGCAGCAGTCAACAGCAGTAGTGAACCCGCAGCAGCAGTCAGCAGTAGCAACAGCAGGACGCTAGAAGCAGGGGTGAAGTTCCAGGCTGATTGGGCGTTGAAGTTAGCTACGATGTGTGTGCTCTATGGTGTGTGGGGTTAAGGGTGACGCGACGACTTCTGTGCAGCTGAAAGAAGCTCTGGCTTCAGACTGGGAGATGTGGTTGGTGGTCTTGATACTGGTTACAGCTGTGGTGGCTGTGTGGGAATGCTTGAAGGGCTCTACAAAGAAGGTTGTGAGCTTGAAGGCGATGAGATCTGGAGAAAAGGCCGAACACCGTGAAGCGTTGGCGTTGCTGGCCAAAGCGAGGAGCCTGGAGGAAGAAGAGAGGCTTCGTCATTTGGCTGCGAAGTATTTTCCAGAGCGTCGTGAAGCTGGACCCTCGACATCAGTGCAGGTGAGAGATGGGGTGACCTCAGTGCGTGTGGGTGGTTTGGGCGAACCTGGTGGAGTTGGACCGAGGGCAAGCAGTGCTCCGGCCAATCGAGTGGTTGCCGTGGATCCTACAGCCCTATTTCCTGAACGTCCTGTACGAAGAGACATTGGGGTTCAGACGCAGGAGATGCTACCGGCTTCGACGCCGACAGTGGTGCAGGTTCCGTTCGATGGGGTCTTGTACCATGGTCCTGGAGGAGATTGCTACCACTGGCATCGTGGATGTTGGGGTCTTCGCAATGTGGACCAGGTGTCGCAGAGGACGCTGTGCAGATGCTGTCGAGAAGCTGGTGGACAGTCGTTATATGGGCATGGTGGGCAACAGCGAAGCTTGAGACCTACCAGAACGGGCTGAATGGGCTTGCGAGAAGAGCGAGCTTGTTGGGACGTTGGCCGTGTGAGAAAGGAGGCCACAGGTTCGACAGAAGATGGTGTATAGGGCCATTGGCCAGTCTTGAGGACCCACCGCTTGGAGAGCATGGGTACCTATGGCAGTCAGTTGGATTGCCAGAACGCCTTGTGAGCCTACCTTGACAGGTGGCTCAAGGAGGGGTGATGAAAGGTGTGGAATGAGATGCACCTGTGGCTTTGACTGTTTTGGTTCCAGGACATGCCGTAGGCATCGGAACACAAGAAGCAGTTGCAGCATAAGACATGCAGGCAACAGATCGCATGTTCTGTTGTTGTTCTGTTGGTCGCTTGTTGTTGTGTGGTCGCCTTTCCGTGGTAGAGGTAGGACCGCCCGACTGGCCGATGGACTTCGGTGCTGCAGTGTGAGGAAAAGGGAGCCTCTGGTGGTGAAGCTGTGTGTGTACAAGGAGTACAAGCCGAGCCAGAGCCACACCCAAGACAAGCCAAGCTGCCATGTCGTTTGCTGGACCTCAAGAGCCCCGCGCTCTTGACCCTAAACCCTAAACCCTAAACCCCAAACCCCTAAACCCTAAGCCTAAACCCCAAACCCTGAAAAAGATGCAGATTACGCTAACAAAAAAGACGCAGATAACCCTCTGTGGAAGCCAAAAGTGTGATGCCCTGCAGGAAAACCACAGTAAAAAGACGCAGATATCCCAGAAAAAAAAGATGCAGCCAACCCAAAACTAAAAGACGCAGATAACCTTTCAAAAAAAAAAAAAGACGCGGATAACATCTGCTCCTGCAAGACGGCCAGACTGTGCTAAGACTGCATAGATAGAAGTTGCAGCAGTGCTGATGTTAAGAGGCACACAACAGAGACCTTCGGGCAGAGATTACATGGCAGAATGCCATGTAAGACTGAATAATTCAGTAGTCATCAGTCTTGCAGTCCTGCAGTCCTGCAGTCCAAGAGCACCACATGATGTAAGTCTAGTAAAATGGACTGCAGGACTGCCAAACTGCACGCACAGAGATTCAGGCACACATGCCTGTGTCGCACTTGTGACGAAAGTGCAAAAGCGGTCCAGCTGCAAGCTATAAGGGAGAGGGGTTTGGCTTTGATTTTTGATTTCAGGGTTTTGGGGCTAGGTCTAGGGTTGGGTTCTGCGGTCAGGGAGTGGTTTAGGTTGTTTGTGCTTGAAATTGGGAGGGTGCCTGAGGATTCCCTAATCTCGAAACCCTGAACTCTCAACCCTAAAGTACCCTAAACCCTGGTGTGCCTGCTAAGGCTCCGAAAAGAAACCCTTAAGGCTTGGAAAAGAAACCCTAAACTTTGAAACTCTGAACTCTAAGTAAGGTTTAGGTGTGCTTCAAGGGTCTCGGCTTTAAGGTGTTTTGCCGTTTTGCCCTCAAGAAGTCTCAAAACAGGCTCAAAGTGGTATCCTAGATACCTTTTGCTGGTATCCTAGTTGTCTTGCTGGGACCTTCCTGGTAGATCCGGGGGGTTCTGGAGCGTTAGCCTCCAGGAAGGATAGTCACAGCCTACTTCAGGGTGGGCTGCCATCAACTCTGCCAGGTCACTATACGCGTGGCTTTCCTAGGCTTGCTGGACTTACGCACGTACTGGCACTCATAGCGATGGAAGGCTTCGCCTCCATCCGGGATGACGATCACGGCGTCACCCTTCTGATGACGTGCAACACTGCTTGCCACACAGCTACTGCTACTGCTCCCCCCAGTCACATTGCCTCCCTTTGTCACATGCTCTCGTTTGGCAACCGCCAACTTCGAGCGAAGGCTCTTGAGCTGAAACCATTGGAACATGATCACGCCCACAAGGAACAGCACGCAATATGTCTCGGCACTGAACATTTGAACATACTCATGCAGCAGTGTTCCACCCATCAAGATGACAGTAACGTACGATGCATTCTCCGAACCATCTGGGCTCAAGGCTCTCCACAAAACCAGTGCACACAACACAAGCAGAACAACTGGCAGCACTGCGGAGGCAGCGTTTGGCATCAACAGTGAGCAGCGCTACCTTCTTGATCCACCCAGTTGCCACATGTGATCCCACAAACTGGTGTTTGACACGATTCACTTGCTGCTTGAACTCATGCTTGAGCTGCACATCTTCCCATTCCTTCTCGCCAACTGCATCATGGTGCTCATGCACCAATCCATGAAGATAGCACAGCGCCAACAATCGTGCAGGACTGAAAGGCTTTGTAAACAGGTCACCCAAGTTGTAGTGTGCGCTCACCGCCTTCACTTGCAGACGGCCTTGACGCACAGCATCTTGAAGCCAAAGAAACCTGCCCTCGATGTGCTTAGCAGCTTTCGAGACGCCCTGCCTCAAAGCAAACTGCCTAGCACTCGCATTGTCAAGCAAAACCACAAGCTGGCATGGCTCCTGGTTCCCCAGTCATGAACATGATGGTGGCCTTCATAAACAAGCCCTGACACGCCGCACTCACTGCCGCGTAGAACTCGGATTCCATGCTGGACAGGGAGATGCAACGCTGAGCCCTGCACACATAGTGCAAATAGCATCCATCCAAACAGTAGGATGCCCTGCCATACGACTTACGATCTTTGCGAGATCCTGCCCAGTCAGCATCTGAGTAGCATTCCAGGCGATGGCATATGCCATTGAGCAATTTCGAACTGCAAGGCGGACCAACGCAAATCGCAGTGGCGTAGTTGCATGTGTTCAGCAAGTACTGCACCAACTTGACCAATCCCCACAGCGCCTGCTTCGAAGGGCTGGCCATGCTGGACGCGAGCAGCCCAATGGTCCCTATGGCCCTATGTGGTCTGTCTGCACATTTCCAAGCCATCTCCACAATTACCTGAAATCGCGACTTCACAACTGGCAGGAAAACGTTGAGGTGAAAGCAAAATGCTGTCGTCCACGTGGATCATTCAGAGCTGATGATGCCCCGACTCAGACACTGCAAAATGCTTGGACAAGAATGTGACAAAGTGCAACAACTTGACCCTTCTCGCTGCCCTGGAACCATTCTGGAAAACAAACTTCATGTGAACGCCGGACAACAACAAGTTCTCGCAAGACACCTTTGGCCACAAGTCGACTCATCTTAACAGCGTCCGCCAGCATGTCGAGTTTCTGCATTGCGTGCACTTAACACGGACTCTGTTTTCGGAAACGATCGCCTTCAGCTTCTTCCTTGAGCTCAAGTCTCCAGAATCGTCCTTCGCATCAGCGCAAGCCAAAAACCGGAACTGCGTGGCCGAACTATAGCGAAAATCTTCATGGAGTCCTCAAATCAAACTCAAACCGTCAAACCTCAACTCTCAATCCCAAACCCCAAACCTGAAGCTTCACTGACACTTTGAAGCCGGTGGAAACTGAGAGGTGTTGACGTCGAGTCTGCGTTGGTAATCCCGCAGCAGCCTGGCCGAGTGGGCTTCACGTTTTGTGACGCAGGGCCCCGCAGCCATTTTTGGCTTAAGGAGGTTCACCCCCGTATGCTCTGCGCTGCTCGACTAACTGGACTTCTGCGACGACTCGAGTACTGAGAGCGGGACATGTAGACTTTAGGTGCTCTTTCTTTGGGTTGCTGCTGGTTGGTGGTTGTGTTTTGTTTGTTTTAGTGTGTTTGCTTTGGTTTTCGCACCTGATCCGTTTCACCTCTTGCATTAAGATCCCTAAGAACGGCCTACTGCTGCTGATGTAGTAAAGAGGCAATGGTCCAAAAAAAGCTCAAGGTGGTTTGGCCATGGAAAGCCGAAGGAGGTTTTTTTTTTTTGGACTGACGCCTCTTTACTACATCAGTAGCGCAGTAGGCCGGTCTTGTTGGGCTCGACATAACAGGTGAAACGAAGTCAGCGCGCTCAAACCACCAAACACACCACGCAACCACCCAAGAACCAAAGAAACAGAAGAAACCAAGCAAGCAAAGGCGCTGAACTGCTAGGTAACCCCACGCACTCAGTACTCGAAGTCGTCGTTGAAGTCCCGGTGCAATCATACAGCACAGAGCATGCGGGGAATCGCAAATTGCGACACTGCCAGATTCTCAAAACCACCATCATGTAGCTACTGGTGCGACATCATTCGAATCGAACCAAGGTCATCACTCGATGGTCAGGATCACGTACCCATCGTCAAGGACAGATAACAGACCCGCAGTGGCAAAGGGATGTTACAGGTCAGACTCCGCAAAGGAAAGGAAAGACGTGCGAATGCCCCATGGTGGTCAGTCAGTGGGGACTTAACAGCAAGAACTATCAAGGCAAGACCGAGAAAGTGACCGAAGTGTGCACCATCATGACTTAACAGACGCATGTAATCCAGTTCATTGGCTTTTTCACCCAGCCCATGATCCACCATTCAATCACCAGTCAAGATACTACTTTTAATGGGAGATAGGGTGGTTAACGAGCCTTGGTAATGGTTGTTCTTCATTAGTGAATAAAAAGAGCACAATATTGTAATTATAAGGTAAAGAACGTAGTGATGCACGCTTTAATTATAATATTGGCGAACGAAAGCAGTACAAGAAAAGAAGATAAGAAAAAGAAGTAAAATACTAAGAATTAGATGAAAGAAATGTAATGCTGTAAGAAAAAAGAAAAGACAACTATAAAGTGAATCATTAATTGAATATGCGAGAATACGAAATTCTTTAATCTGGAAACTAATAAAAAGAGAAGATAAATAGAATGACCACAAAGTGAAGAAAATAATATATTGTGATGAAATTTCTAAATTAATAAAAGCATTTCCTAAAGATATAGCAGCATTAGATAAAAGAAGTGTATTAGCAAAAGATAATTCACAAGGATCTGGAAGATAGAAAGCTTCTCCAGGCCACATCCCTAAAGTTGGACAAGATAATAAATGAAAAGATGTCCAAAAGAAGGATACAAATAATAGAGCTTCAGAAACTAGAAAACCCCAAAAAAGAAGAAAAAAGATTATTAATAAGACTTCATATTTTTTAGTGAATTCTCTTAATAAATCTCTAGACCAAATATGAAAACTATAAATTAATCCAAATAAAAGATGATAAAATATAAGAAAATAATTCTATGAGAAGTGAATTCCAGACCAACAATAAATATTAAATCCTGTAAAGATAAATAGAATTATAATAAGAGCAAAGAATAATAACCAAGAACTATTAATAAGAAAACAAAATGAATCTGATGTAACTTCTAAATGTTTAGATTTCCAAAATACCAAATAATACGTACAAAAGGGCCTCATAAAATATTACTATTTTTCTAGCCCTTACAATTTACTATTAAATGCTGGGGAAAATAGTATATTAAATGTACTATAATTCTATGGACAAGTGAATGAACGGAGTGAATGACACACGCATACAATATTAAGGGAAGAGAAGCGAATTTACTATATTTTAATGCGTTCACTCATTCATTCGTTTCATATTAAATTTACTGTCACGTGTACGCATTAAAATCGTGTAAATGCTGCGTTCATTATATTATTTCGGCTTTCGTGCATCATTTTATTCTTTACAAAGCCTTATAATATATT